AATGGAAGAGAGAGAGAGAGAGAGAAACATCGATGTGAGAGAACATCAATTGTCCGCCTCCTGCATGCTCCCCACTGGGGATCGGGCCCACAACCTGGGCATGTGCCCTGATGGGGAATCAAACCAGCAACCTCTTGGTGCGTGGGTCGATGCTCAACTACTGAGCCTCACCGGCCAGGCTGTGAACATTTTTTAAATTCTCATTCAAGGATATGTTTTTTATTTTAGACAGAAGAATGGAGAGTAAGAGAGAAAAACATCGATGTGAGAGTAACATCCATCAGTTGCCTCCCATGTACACCCCAACCAGAGACTGAACATGCAACCTAGGTATGTGCCCTGACCGGGATTCAAACCTGCAAACTTCTGGTGTATAAGATGATGCTCCAACCAAACGAACCACCCAGCCAGCGCTGTGAAAATCTTCTTATGTGATTAAATATTCTTCTTCAAAACATTTAAAATAGCCTGGCTGGTGTGGCTCAGTGGTTGAGCGTCGACCCATGCATCAAGAGGTTGCCGGTTCAATTCCTGGTCAGGGCACATGCCCAGGTTGTGGACCAAATCCCCAGTGGGGGTCATGCAGGGCACAGCCAATCGATGTTCTCTCTCATCGATGTTTCTACCTCTCTTCCTCTCCCTTCCTGTCTCTCTGAAATCAATCAACCAAAAACAAAAAAACCACATTTAAAATAACTATAAAATTCCATTGTATGGTTCATAGTATAATTTATCTAATTGCTTATGTTGGACATTTAGGTTGACTCTGATTTTTTCAACATGGCATTGAGATTATTTACTAAAACTCGAATTCCAGGTGAAAGAGTAACAGATATTTTTTGAGGCTTCTGATAAAAATGGCTAAATTGCTCTCCGGGGAGAGGGAATCTCACTCACAAGGTAGAAGAGAAATAACTAAACCTTAGCATCATTACATCTGCTTCATAGATCACACGAAAACATGTTTGCATCTGTTATTTCTTCACAATGGAGGTAGATAGAGCAGGCGCTGTAATTCCATCTAAAGTACATGGACTCACTGGCTGGTGGGACTCACTGGGACCCAGGAAGGCTCCATGACAGCCTGCATGACACAGCCATCTCGTGCCTGAGCTCAGACTGGGACTCATTTCCCGACTCCGTGCTGTCCCCTTGGATCCCAGAAACAAACATTTCTTTTGGGTTTAACAGCACGTTTAGGTCTTCAGAATGCTTTGCTTTTTGGACTTGAGAGTGTACAATGGACCTTCCCGGCAGCTCATCCCCCCACAGCACAGTAAGCCCCGAGATCACCTTGACCCCTAGAGGGAAAGTTATAGGAAGGCCGGGGCCACTGTGAGAAGGGTAGGCCTGTAAGCCGCGGTAATTAGAAAAACAACTGCGAAGTACAGTGCTTTAGAGCATGGTCTTCACGTTAGAAAAACAAATAACATGTGGTTCTACCACATTCTAGCTTAATAACCATTAACTGTTTTCCCCTAAGATTCTGTTTTCTTAGTCGTAATACACGGGTAGTATAAAAGTATCTTCCTCACAAGTTTGTTGTTGGAATTCACTGACGTGATGATATAAATCACTTAGCACAATTAGCACATAGTAACGAGACAATAAATGTAAGCATTGCTCCTATTATGAAGCAAATGGAGAGAGTCCTGCTCTATTAATAAGAGGTGAGAGCTGCCCACCCTGTGGCTCAGTTGGTTAAGTGTGGTCCCATGTGCTGAGAGGTTGCCAGTTTGATTCCAGGTCAGGGCACATGCCTGGGTTGCGGGGCTTGATCCCCTGTGGGGGGCATGCAGGAGGCAGCCGATCGATGTTTCTCATCGATGTTTCGATCTCTCCCTCCCTCTCCCTTCTTCTCTCTCTACAATCAATAAAAAAATCATATTAACAACAACAAAAAAAAAGAGGTGAGAGCTAATTCTGGCTGGGTTCTATGCCCTTGCAGTTTTGTTTTGTTCTTTCTGTACAATGATGGAGAGAAGAGATAGGAACAAATGATCTCAAGATTCCCTTTGTTGTTGTAGGAGAAGACTCTGAGTCTCTGACATTCTAATATTCTGTTTACTGTCGAAGAGTCGCTAAGTGCTTGTTTCAAGATTCTATGAGATTAAGATTCTATAATTCTGCGATTCTTCTTCTGAGATTCCAAGATTCCATGACTCAAAATTCTGTTGAAAGATTCCATCTGCGTGGAATGAAAGCCTCTAAGCCTAGCAGAACTTTGCCTGACTAGCTCTTACTATTCTTGTATATTTCTCCTTAAATAGCACTTCTTCAGAAATTCCTTCCTAATTCTTCCTCCAGTGCTCTTGATCCACCCCTTGCCATGCCTCTGCTGGAATCCTGCTCTTTCCCATTCCAATGCAGTCCTAATTGATAACCAGATATTTGTGCGATTTGGTTAATGCCTGTCTTCCTGTCTCCATTGCTTGGCGAAGTAGACTCTCGGTAAATATTTGATGAATGATAAATAAATGAATGCATGAATTCTACAAGTCAAAGATTCCATGAGTGTTTATTCCCAAAGTCTGCTATTCCAGACACTCCCCGCTGGCCACCACCTGAGAATCTGACACCCAGGAGGGGAGTGACCTGTGACCTTTCCTATCCCATGATATTGCCTGACTCCTTTGTGCTCCGCCCCTTCTGCTCCCTACCCCTCCATTATTTACCTCTTTGAGAGCCCTTGGATTGGAGAGAAGGCTGGACTGTATCTCTGCTATTGAAACCAATCTGGATACCAGTTCATTTGTTCGTTCGTTCGTTCATTCACTCATTCATTCACTTACTCATTCGCTCAGCAAATGCTAGGCTAGTGCCCACAAAGTGCCAGGCACTGTGCTAAGAAGCTGGTACAAAGGGTGAGTGAAGCAGGCCTGTTTCCAGCTTTCACAGAGCTCATACCCTAGAGGGCCGGATATGGGCACCCATGACATAATCACACATAAACTGTGAACACGGTGAGAACGTACAACAGCACGCAATCTAGACCCCGGGCCTTGGGCGCAAGGTCACCACGAGGCATCCTCCAGGGCCTTGAACTGGTCCCCTCTGCCCTTTATCTGGGACACCTGGACACTCTCCTTGTGCAACCTCTCCCTGGGGAACCATCAGCAAGAATTTGGGCTCAAAGTGGTGACATGCCCGCTCCCCAGTACCCTTGAGAATACTGTTCTCATCAGGTTGGAAGCTAAACCATCACCTCTCAGAACCCTTCCCGTCCTTACAGGACCGAAAAGGGAATGTTGATATCCTGGAAGGTTGGAGCTCTAGGTGTCCAACACCCTCCTTGAACAGATGGGGAAACTGAGGCTCAACGAGAGGAAGCTGCTCAAGGTCACACAGTTAAGTGGCAACGTGAGAACAGAACCCCAAGCTCCCTGTTCTCTCTTCTTACCCACCCCCTTGTTGACAAGAATGACCGCTGAGTATATGTATACAGAGGGAATCCTAGTTCAACCTGAAGCCAGGAGGGTTTCCACCAGCTACGAGCAACAGTTAGAAGGTAGACAAAGCTCTGCGGGACAGGAAGAGGTTTATGGCGACATTTGGAGGCATTTTCACTGTTGTGTTTCCTTAGGTCACAAACATACATGAGTGAAAATACATCCGGTGACATGTCCGTATCGACTACCATACTTTCTCTTAGTAAACAACTTCTTCAGGGAAATGTGGCTATGTGAGCCTGGAAATGCTAGTTCTTGCTCACTGCACTTTTCTTTCCAATAGCAAAAAACTCGAGACAACCTAAATTGAAACAACATAAACTGTGGTAGAACCTGGTCATAGAATACTATGTAGCACTTCTAAAGGTATAAAGGGCTCTAGCCAGTTTAGCTCAGTTGTTAGTGTCAGCTCTCAGACAGAAGGGTTGCAGGTTTGATTCCCGGTCAAGGGCATGCACCTGAGTTGCATGATCATGCAGGAGGCAACCAATCGATGTCTCTCTCTCAATGTCTCTCTCTCAACATCGATGTTTCTCTCTCTCTCCCTGTCTCTCTCCCTCCCTTCCTATCTAAAAACCAACAGAAAAATACCCTTGGGTAAGGATTAACCAAAATAAATAAATGTATAAAAGGTAGGTCTCCATAAGAGACCAGGCACATTGCTGAGTTAAAAAAAAAAAAAAAGGCAAATTTAAGAAAAATATGTACAGTGTCAAATCATATTAAGCTTCATCTGTAATTTTTTGGAGAATGAGCTTTATTTACATATTATTTACTTAAGTAAAATTATTTTTTAGAAATACCATCCTTTAGAGCAAGGGTTAACACATTTTCCTACAAAGGCCCAGAGAGACAGCATTTTAGGCTCTGCGGACCACATGTCACTGTTACAACTGCTCCATTCTGCTGCCTGGTGCAGATGCAGCCTCGGCCAGTACACGTGAGCGTGAGTGTGGCCCTTGTCCAATACAACTTTATTTATGGACACAGATTTGAATTTCATGTAATTTTCATGTGTCACCAAATAGTTTGTAGCCATTTAAAAGCGGTGAAACCATTCTTAGCTCAGAGGCCATGCAAAGCCAGTGTCCATGAGGTGTGGTCCAGGGGCAGACGCCAAGCCCTGCTTTAATCCAGTTCAAGCCCCACCTCCCTTCTAGCCACACTTACCTATTTTGTCCTCAAATATTCCTGTCCTCTTCCTCCATGACCCTCCTGTGACCTTCAATGGCCTCTCCAGATGCCTCCCAGCCCTGCCTGTCTGCCCTTGGGGACCCTCATCTCCTGGCGGCAGGACTGTTTTTTCCTGAGCAGGGCTCTGAATAGCTCCATTCACCTTGGCAAGAGGGAACTCAAAGAAAGAATTTTGTTTGGAGTCCTGGAGAAGCCAGGACTGTGGACTTTGATTTGCCTTTGAAATCAGGTCCCATTCCCTCCCATTCTTAAGGGTCCCTTGCTACTACTTTCCCTGCTCGCACTCCACCAGCCCCAGCAGTCTGTCCGCTGCAGCTCCTACGGCCACATCAGCATTGCAGCTCCCGATCACTCTGCATGGATCCCAGAACCCTCTGCTTCCTGTCCTGTTGCCTGCTCATCTGTGTCATTTCAGGTACGGACCTCTCCTTCCATCCCAGCAAATCAGTTTTACTCCCTGGGATGTCCTGAGATGCCCCTGCCTGTGCCTTCCCCAGGGTGCCTGGTTGACTGCATGGGGAAGGGGAGCGAATGCTAGCACCCTGGTGTCAGGAGGCTGAGTTCCAGGCTCAGCTCCGCCGCTCACTGTCTGTGCTAACTTGGCTGGGCCCTGTCACCTCTGTGAGCTCAGCTTCTTATCAGTACAATGACAAGGACGGGCTGCACAATCTTCCAGAGCCAGCCGGCCTCTCTAATCCGAAAGTCAGAGGCTATCAATTTAAGTCTAGTCATGACTTAGATTCATGGGCGGTTCAAGCATGTGGAACTCTGAAATCTGACAGGACCAATCCTGGCTTCTCTACTCCCTGGCAAGATATAATACAACAGTCTCTAAGACTCAGTTTATTCAGGAGTGAAGTGGGGATAACAGTAGTCCTAAAATTACAGTGTGGTTCTGAGGATTAAATGACGTAATGTATACGAACGTTTGGACCAGAGCCTTGCCCATAAATACACGACGAGAGGTAGCAACATTATTTTAATTTTAAAGACCCTGATCAAAGCTGATTATATAATTCTAAAAGTCAGAGTGTTTATTTCTAGGTTCTTTGACTCTAAGAGTCTATCATTTTGCTCACAAAGAGCCACAGTTTGAGGGCTCCATCAAGGGCACAGCCTGAAAGAGTTCTAGCCCAGAGCTTAATAGAAGACAGATACTTAGGGGAAGCTGAGGCCCCAGGGAGACTTATCCTCCATCTCTCCACTTCCAGCCGTCCCAGGAAGAGGTTGGGACCGGAGTGATCTCTGCGAGAGAATAGCTAGGCTTGGCACAGGATTTGGAGAGATGGTGTCACCCCAGACTTCCTCTTCCAGATGCTGCTGGCCATTGGCAATATTCCCTTGTGGTGCTGGCAGATGTTATTTAGGGAGCTTCAGATGGAAGAAAGGGGAGGGGCAGGCATCTTCCTGGTAAGAAAGTAGGCGTTCAGCAAAGGGTTGATGGTTGAAATTGGAGGGTTATTTGAAGGAGAAGGAGTGGAGGGTGGAAACACGGGAGGTGATGTGATCTCAGACATTTAGAACATGGGCACCGAGAAGGATCCTTGAGAGTCATGTAACTCAGGAATCTATGAACACTATGCTCTAAGGAATAATTCTGTTGTCCTGTTGCCTGCCTTGGGGTGGGGGAGAGAGGAGAAATAGGGATTTAAAGGCTGGATGGGTGGGTTTCCAACCCCAACCCCTTAAACCAGAACAACCCTATTATTATTATTTATCATCGGCCTTTCCAATATTTTAAGAGAGGATTCTGCTATCTAGACTTCATTGATTGGTTTGCTTTTATTTTTATTTATTTATTTTTTATCCTCACCCGAGGACATTTTTCCATTTTTTGTTCAGGTAGAGTGGGAGGGAGAGAGAGGAACAGAAGAGAAGGAGACGTGAAAGGGACACATCGAGTGGTTGCCACCTGCACGACCCAACCAGGGCCGGGGACAAACTATAACCGATGTAGGTGCCCATAGAGGGAACCGAACCCGGGTCTCTCGGGACCGCAGGTCAATGCTCTAACCGCTGAGCCAAACTGGCCAGGGCTTGATTGGTTTGCTTTTAACCTTGAAAAGCTTTGGTTTAGTCCAACCTCTTCACTTTATAGATGCAAAAACTGAGACGTAGACACAGCAAGATGAATAACAATGTGGTAGCATCAGAGGGGATCCCTTGGGCAAACCACATGACACGCAGTTTCCTCATCTGAGAAATGAGGATGTCCCGGAGAGCTCTGGTCGGGCTCTGTGAGTGTTAGATGGGATGATGCACGCAGAGCGCGGCACAGTGCCTAGGCGCCCAGGACTTTTTAATTATCATCATCATCACCAGATCCTGAAATGAAACTCGTTTTCCTCCTTCTGTGTGCCTAAGTGACCTGTTGACCTGGCAAGCCCAGAAGCTCCAGAGCTGTAGGCATCTTGTGGCTCCCAGGGAGCCCTTCTCACGTGGTCCCACAGCCCTCAGTCCTGGAGGTGGAGCCTTTGCTGGTGAAGCTGTTTGCAGCCTCCCTGTACTCAGGGCTTACGTTGGGCCCTGTCAGATCCCGCCAGCACAGCCCAGCTCTGGGGGCTCCTCTAACCCAGCCCTTGGTCAGATTTCAACTCTAGAACAAATAGGATTCCAGACCCAGAACCCAGAGACTTCCTCTTGCCAGCTGCCCTGACAGCAGCCTCTCAATTAGGGCAATCAAAATGCCAGCAGGTACTCCTGGCCTCTCTCTTATCCTGCCCTCTGATTGGTTGCTTCTGCTTCACGGAAGGCCTCTATGGATGTTTGGCTATTAAAGCATTAGTTTTATATATACATATATATATATTTTTATTCTCACCTGAGGACATTTTTGCATTTATCTTGAGACAAAGCAGGAGAGAGAGGGGGGAAGAGAGAGAAAGAAACATCGATGTGAGAGAGACACATTGAGTGGCTGCCACCCACACAACCCCAACCAGGGCTGGGGACAAACTGCAACCGAGGTACAAGCCCTTAGCGGGAACCGAACCTGGGACTCTCTGGTCTGCAGGCCGATGCTCTAACCGCTGAGCCAAACCGGCCAGGGCTATATTTGGGTTTTTAAAAGTACACTATTTGTGGCAGACAGAATAGTGTGCACCCAAAGATGTCCACATCCTAAGCCCTAGAACCTCACATGGGAAAGTTAAGACTGAGGGTCGAATTAAAGTTGCTAATCCTCTGACCTTAAAAGATGGAGAGTATTCTGGATTATTTATCCAGTGTGATCCTGAGTATCCTTGAAAGTGTAAGAGGGAGTCAGACAAGGGGGCCAGAGACGGCTGCAGGAGGAAGACTTGCTCCAACATTGCTGGCTTTGAAGACGGAGAAACGGGGCCATAGCCAAGGAACATGGGCAGCTTCAGAACCTGGGAAAGTCAAGGAACCAGATTTCCTAAGAGCCTCCAGACGGAACGCAACCCTGCCAACACCCCGATTTTAGCTCAGTGAGACCCATGGCAGACTTCTGACCTCCAGAGCTGTAAGAAAATAAACTTGTGTTGTTTTAAGCCGCTAGGTTTGTGGCAGTTTGCTATAGCAACAACACAAATGAATATACTGTTCATGATGACTACTGAGCTATTATATGCCAGACACTGTACATGCTTCTCGTACATTATCATTTAATATCCACGATACAGGCATACCCCAAAGCTATTGCGCATCCGGTTCCAGACCACCGAATGCCGCAATAAAGTGAGTCGTAATCTTTCTGCTGGTGGAGGGTTTTGTCTTCAGTTTGTCAAAAACACAACATCTGTGAAGCACAATAAAGTGAAGTGCCATAAAACGAGGTACACCCATAGCCCTGCGAGGCAGGTGTTCTTGTTCTCATTTTCTAAATGAAGAAAATGGGGCTCAGGGAACTCACATGACTTGGCCAAGGTCCCACAGCTGGTTTGTAGCAGAGCAGAGACGGAAAGTCCGCACCCTGGCTCTGAAGTCCACATTCCATCCGCTCGTCCAGGCTCACCACCCCTTCTCTGGAGTGGCCTAGGTACTGCCTCAGAGAATCTTTGTTTTTATTGTTTAATTTTATTTATTTTTTGTTAATCCTCACTCAAAGATATTTTGCCATTAATTTTTAGCTAGAGTGGAAGGGAGGGATGGGGAAGAGAGAGAGAGAACCATCAGTGTGAGAGAGAGATATCAATTGGTTGCCTTCAGCATGACCCAGATTGGGGCCAGGGATCGAACCTGCAACCCAAGTACATGCCCCTGACTGGGAATTGATCCCGAGACCCTTTGGTCCCTGGGGTGATGCTCCAACCACTGAGCCAAATCATCTGAGCCAAACCAGCCAGGCTGAGAATTGATTTTAGATGCCAGACTGCAGTGTTCCAGGTCACCTCGTTCAGATGTTGAGCCCAGCCATTCTCTCTGAGGCTTGGTTTCTTAACCTGTAAAAGGGACTAATAAATGTTCACTGGGTGGCCTTTGGGGACGAAGGCAAAGATTAAAGCAGAATGGCCCTGGGAAGCGTTGGTGGTATAGTGGTGAGCATAGCTGCCTTCCAGAATGGCCCTGGCCAGTTTGGCTCAGCAGTTAGCGCTGTCCAGAGAGACCCGGGTTCGGTTCCCGCTAAGGGCATGTACCTCGGTTGCAGTCTGTCCCCGGCCCTGGTTGGTCGTGCAGGTGGCAGCCACTTGATGTGTCCCTTTCACGTCGATGTTTCTCTCTCTCTCTCCATTCCACGCTATCTGAACAACAACAACAACAAAATGGTGAGGATAAAAACAACAAAGATAAAACCAGAATGTGTGTGTGGGGTTCTCTGAACTGTTGAGTGCTCTTCCCATGTAAGGAATTCAGAATAAACCTCCCACAACTACCAAAACTTCTTAAAATCATTTGGTCTCTGCCTCTAGTTCCTGGCACAGGGCTCCTAAGACCCTTGCAATTTCCTAAGTGATAAGAGCACTAAGAGAATCCGCCTCTCGGTGGGCTCCTGGGTAGCTTCAGGATGGGGCCGGTCACCAGAAAGCTTGGAACTTTCAGTCCCACCCCCGTCTTGTGGGAATTGGCTGCAGATTGAGTTATGACGGATTGTACCTGTGTGACAGAGCCTCCAGAAATATCCCCCAGGCCATGGGGTTGGGAGAACTGGTTGCTGAGCACTGGACAGGCTGGGAGAGTGTGCACCTGGACAGAGCATGGACGCCCCGTGCTCCTTCTCACATACCTGGCCCTGTGTATCTCTCCCATCTGGATGTTCACGTGTATCCTTTTATTTATTTATTTATTTATTTTTAATCCTCACCTGAGGACATTTTTCCATTTTTTTTTGTTCAGATAGAGTAGGAGGGAGAGAGAGGAAGAGACAGAGAAACATCGAGTGGCTGCCGCCCACACAACCCAACCAGGGCTGGGGACAAACTGCAACCAAGATACGTGGTGCCCTTAGCGGGAACCAAACCCGGGTCTCTCTGGACCGCAGGCTAATGCTCTAACCGCTGAGCCAAACCAGCCAGGGCTCATGTGTATCCTTTATTGTTTCTTTTTATAATAAACCGGTAAATATAAGTGTTTCTCTGAGTCCTGTGAACCATTCTAGCAAATCGAACCCCAGGAGGGGGGTGTGGGACCCCCGATTTACAGCCTGTTGGTCAGAAGTACAGGTGACAACCTGGGACTTGAGACTGACCTCTGAAGTGGGAGGGGAGGGGCGGCCTTGTGGGACTGAGCCCTCTTGACCTGCGGGGTCTGATGCTCTGTGTAGCTCAGAATGACTGCAGCTGTAGGACATGCAGTGGTGTTGCAGAGAATCGCTGGGTATGGAATGAAGACCCCACACACCTGCTGTCGGAAGTGCCCAGGGTAGTTGTAGTGTGAGTAGAGGAGACACACAGGACGAGAAGAGTTTTTTCTTAACAACTGTACAAACCAGAGGACTCAGCTTTGAAAGTGGTGGTTGGGTCCTTTCTTTTGTTGTGGTGTGTTCTGTTGTTGTTGTTTTTTGCCACTAAGGGACTGCTTGTGTTATTGATGGTGGTCAGTGGCCATAGAAAAGGACAACTGCTAAACTCCACCAGGATCTTTCTATTCCTGATGCCCAAACACTCTATTCTAGCCCCTTGCCCTGACTGTTCCCTGCCACCCCCACCGATAATGGGGTGGCCCAAGGCTTTTGTACCATGGGGGTTTAGGATGGATCTGATGTTTTGTGTCAGACAGTAGGTGCAAAAAGGCAAGTTATTTGGGAGCTACATTGACAGTCTGGTGGGATCTGATCAGGGCTTGGACTGCGTGCTGTTAGCACTGGGATCGAGAGAAAAGGATGCATCTGGGAACGACTAGGAAGAAAAAGCAAGAGCCTCAGGTCTTGGTGCACATTGCAGAACTCTCTGTATGAAGAGGAGATTTGGGGGTGGGGTGGCAGGCACGCATATGGAATGATTCTATTTCCTCTTCCACATGGAAGAAAAAGTAGATCTGGTAGAGGTTGAAGATAGTGCATCAACATCTGCAAGGTCTTCAGAGCCACTTGGCACCGAGATAAACTACAGGCAGAATTACCATGGGCTCTGGAGTCAGGCTGACCTGGGTTTGAGTTCAAGGTCTCCTATGCCTTAGCACTGGACCTTGGGAAAGTTAGCTTCTGTGAGCCTCAAGTTCCTCATCTGTAAAATCAGAATAATACGTACTTTGCAGTCATTAAGAGGATGAAATAAGAACATGTATATAAAGGGGCTAGTACTGTTCCAGAAACACTGTAGACTCCATCAACGGTAGCTATTGGTATTAAATACTGAGCTCCCCATCACTAGACACATCTAAGTGCAGGTTCAGTGGCCTCTTTTGGAGCATGCTTTAGCAGGTGTTAAAATAGTGGCAAGCTGGAAAAGAACATGTGTTAAGTTCCCTTGCACAGCCCACCAGCAGTTTCACTTCTAAAAAAATTCCTTTTCAAGAAGCAATCTGAGCAAAGGTGTATGCACAAGATGATTATTGCCAAATGGTTTATTTTGGCTAAGAATGTAAAAAACCCAAATACCCAACAATGAAAAATAAATCATAACACATCCTTACCATGAAATCCCATGCAAGTCATTAAAAATGTCGGTGTATGTGTGTTAGACATGGACTGAAAATCAAAACATATTACCAAGTGAAAATTCAGATTACTAAAGATATGTGCTATTGTTCCTTTTTTTTTTTTTTTAAACAAAATAGTTACTTAAAATATTTGCATTAAAATAGCCTTTGAAGAAATGTGCTTCAAATATTCATGGTGGTTATCTCTGGGTGGTAAGTTTGGGGGCAAATTTAATTTTTTTTCATGGTTTGTTTGTATTTTCTATTTTTTCCCTAAAGAGGGACAATGACTTGTGTAGTAGTAATAAGCGTAAAAGGTCGTAACAGAACCCTGAGATTCTGTCAGCTGCGGGGGTGAGAAAAGGGCAGAACTGGAGGTGCATGGTGAGGGCTGGTGACCACAGACGTCCCCTGTCTTCCCTGCAGCTGAAATCCACGAGGGCCGCAGGACTCCCAAGGCTCAGAAAAAGAAGGATGTCAACAAAGCAGCCAGCCTTGGTGAGGGGAAGCCCTCAGGAGCCCCAGGCAGAAAACCCAAATCAGACCCAGACCGGAGACAGAAGTCCCTGCGGATGAAGATTCCTGTGGAGGCTGCAGCTCCCCGCCCCCCAGCCCCTTCCATCCTGACCCGGGTGGTCGGAAGGGGCCGCTTCCAGAAGGTGGGGGACTCTCTGAGCCTGCGGGCTGGGGAGCCCCTGGAGCTGCGCTGCCGGGGAAAGGTGGTCTACTGGAGGGTGCCTGTGTACCTGGAAGAGGAGGGTGAGGGACGCCTCAGGTACGGGGTGGAAGAACTCCCGCGACAGCCTGCAAGGGCCCAGGGTGGGCCGGAGATGTTGGGCAGTGGTCAATAGCCCTTAATCAGTTTTTATAGGGATTCAAATGGCCCAGGGCCCGCACTGGGCATCCCATTACGTACAACTGCAGGCACCTAAAAGAAACAGTAAGAAGGGCTCACAAGACCCAGCCAACGCATAGAGGTTTTGCAGAACGGGAGACAAGGCTTCCCACAATCCTGGGAAGTCCGTTCTGAGAGCACCACAGTGCTCGTGGGAGAGGTGGCGATGGTAAGGCAAAAGAGCTGACTGTCCCGCTGCAAGCCACCCTTCGGTCAGGGGCGCCACCCTAGGGAAGCTGGAAGGAAAGGCAGAGGTGGCCCCGCCAGCACTGCCCACCTAAGTCCAGAAGAACATGGGACAGAGGCTGGGATATAAACCAGGGTCTAGGTGTGTCTACTTTCTCTCAATTTAGTCTCTTAAAATGAGATTTCCGGGGACTCTGCCTCCTTTGGCAGGTGGAGGTGCTTAGAGGGCAATTGCTGACCTGATCAAAGCGACACAAGGAAGGAGCCAAGGAGCCCAAAGGAGTGTGGGGGATCCCACTTGCAATGTGTGGGCAAGGTCAATGGGGGAGTAGATGGACCAATTAGAAGTTGCGTGTTGGATAGGCGAACCAATCAGAAACTGCAACCAATACAAACCCTGACAGCTCCAGAGGCAGGGGAGCTGGCTGGGTGGCGTGATGGAAGTTGGGAGGAGGACTGTCAACCAATCAGATGCTGCCACGAGCTGTCTCAAGCCACCCCGTCTGCCCCCGCCAACTGTCTTTCAGAATCAAGCACTTCAGCCAGCACAGCCGCTTACAGCTGGCGAACTCCACGGGCGCGGACACGGGGGAATACGGCTGCTGGGCTCGAGACTGCCAGGATGCGGCCTGCACCGAAGGGGAGGGCCACCAGGGAAAGACCTTCATCTTCTTCACAGGTGCCCTGGAGTCAGGCTCTCCAAGAACCTCGGTCGGAGAACATCCCCCAAACATACCTGACTTAGTCTTTTCCCGTAGTCCCACCTGTGAACGGCGGGACCTGTGTGCCTGTTTCTCCAAGATCCTTCTGGTGACATCCTGTGATTCTATGGCTAATCCCATGAAAACAGAGGGCTCCAGCTTTGTTCCACTGAGGAAACACACGACTGTCTTAGAACTGGCTGGGTCTCCTCCCTCAAATCCAACCATGACAGTAATGCTTACCCAGTCTAGAGGCTCTTGACGCTGACTCAGTGTCACCTGGCAACCTTATAAACCCAGGGTTTCTGGAACCCTGGAATGCCAACAAGTCCTACAGGGAAGTCCTATCTTTGGGAAGTCAGTGCTTCCCAAGTCTGGTTGCCCACTAGGGTCGCCTGTGGAACATTAAACCTACTGATTTAAGAACCATCCCAGCAAGGTTCTGATTTACTTGGTCTGGGGTGGGGTGCCCAAGAATCGGTCACTTCAAAGTCACCTCAGGTGATTCTAACATTCAGCCAAAGTTAACCATTACATTCGTCTAACCCTAGAACCACTTTATCCAATACTGAAGCCACTAAACCAATGTGGCTATTTAAATCTAAATTAATTAATGTCCATGAGTTCTGGAAGAAGGTGTAGAGGTGATAAATAGTGATGGGGGGAAAAAATCTAAGTTAATTCAAATGAAATCAAAGTTTACAATTCAGTTAGTTTCACAGTTGCACTCGCTACATTTGAAATGCCCAATAGCCACATGTGACTAGTGGTTACATATTAAACAACATGGATACAGAACATTTCCATCAGGACAGAATGTTCTATAGGACAGCGCTGTGCTAGAAAGCTGGTCCCCAGACCATTCCTACTCACTGCGCCATTGTGCACCCAAGAATCTGACCTGAGACTATGTTGCTAAAAGTACCCTGAAAGAGTCTGAAGAATGTGTGCCTCCCACAGGCCTGGTGCCTCATATCCAGTGTCCCATTTGTTTCTTATCAGCTCTGCAAAGTAGGCCAGAACAGGATAATCGCGGCTACTTGACATGTAAGAAGAACCAAGGCTCGGAGGAAGAAAGTGATTTGCTTAAGATCCCACAGCTAGTAGGTGGCAGGATTGGGAATCAAACCAGAAACCTCAACTTCAAATTCAATATTTCCTGTAATACTTTTCACATAGAAGGGCCCTTAGAGACCAAGCCATCTGAACTCCCTTATTGTACAAATAAAGACAGACAGACAGACAGACACACACACACACACACACACACACACACACACACACACACACACAGAGGGAAAGAGATTTAAGATGTATAACAAGCTAATGACAAAAGCCGGAACTAACAGCGCGCGCGCACACACACACACACACACACACAGAGGGAAAGAGATTTAAGATGTATAACAAGCTAATGACAAAAGCCGGAACTAACAGGCTGGTCTTTAGCCCCCAGTCCAGAACCCCTTACCAGAGAGCAAAGAACATGCAGAATGGAGATGGGTGGGGATTTTAAGTCCTCACAAGGATGTCATGCTCATGAGTGGTGGTAGAGCATCAAGAGACAATGCATCTGTCCTGAGCTCATTCTTCTCTCTCCCTCCTTCCTTCCCAGACCCAGAAGAGCTCTTTGTCCCCACAGAGAATTATTATGAGGTGGTACAGTTACGCAGCCATCAATCAGTCCTGCTTCCCTGCCAGGTGACCAACCCCTTGGCCCAGGTAACGCTGCATCGAGAGTTCCCCCCAGAGGAGGTCCCGGTGGATGGGACGGACATCTCCTTTGATGTGAAGAAGGGCTTCACCATCCACCGGCCTCGAGCTTCCTTGGCTGGCTCCCTCTTCTGCTTGGCCAGCCTAGGAGGCATGAGACAAATCTCCACCAAGTACATGCTGATCTACATCAACTGTGAGTGAGCCTAGGGCTATGGTTGGGCTGGGCAGGGCAGGGGAGGATATGGGGAGGGATGTCTCCTTTGGGAATCTCAGGCTTGGGATCAGTGGATTATAGCGCTCTAAACCACCAACCACCTTTCAACAACACTCTGTATCTTCAACTTTTTTGTCCAGAAATAGCCAACCAATCAACAGTTGAGCTAGCTTGCACCAGTTCAGCCTTTCTATCCATCCATTTATTCTTAATCAAGTCACATTATTCCATTCATCTACCTTTCCTCACATCAACCATTCCATTCACATATCCTCCATCAGATCAACTGTTCCATCATCTATCCATCCTTTATTAATTCATTATGTCCATTCATATCCTCTATCAATTCAGCCACTGCAACCATTCATCCTCTATCAACTTAACCATTTCACCCATTTCATTCAATCATAACAATCAACTCAACATGTTTGTCCCCATTTCTCTCCCATCTTCTCCATGGCAGATCCATCTTCGCCCCCCAAACCCACCATCCAAGCTTCAGCAACATCGGTCTTATTGGGCGAGAACTTCAATGTGACCTGCACAGTTCTGAGTGAGCCGGAGATTGCTGTGGACTTCAGTTGGGAATATCCAGGGCAGAAGGTAAGCAGAGGGTAAGAAGAGGCTGAGAATATGTGTGTGTCGGTGGTGCGTTGGGGCAGGAGTGTGGGAGTGAAGGATTAGGATGAGTGCCAGGAGCGATCACAGTACAGTGGAACTACTACTTGACTGGGAATCTGATGAACAGGGATCATAGTCCCAACTCTGACACAACTTTTCTGAGTGACATTGGGCATGTCACTTCCCTTTCTGGGCCTTAGTTTCCCCATGTGCTAAATAGAATTACTTCTCAGGTTATCGTATAATGTGTTCCTTTGTTAATTTAGTCAACAATAATTATTGAGCACCCACCACAAGCCAGACACTATACTAGGTGTTGAGACTGCAGAGACGAGTCAACAAGAGAGATGGCTTCCACTCTCTGTGCTTATAGTCTCAATGAGGAGGGGGAAGAGAACAAACAGGATCATCTGGAGAAAGGACTACATCAAGGATGAACAGGAATGTAATCAGGTGTACTTAAGACAGAACAGTCAGGATGTCTTTTCTGAGGTGACATTCAAGCTGAGGCCAAACTGGCCCAAATGACATACACATGGGGCTGGAGCAGTGTCTTGCTTCTGCCTGTTAGTCATCCTACTCAAAGTTTGGTATGCTTTTGTCTTCTTGTTTCTGACAGAAGACCTCCTTTCAACATTTATCATGTAGAGTTTGTGGTAGCAAATTCTCTTAGCTTTTGTTTGCCTGGGAATGTCTTTATTTCTTCTTCATATCTGACGTACAACTTTGCTGGATAAAATCCTTGGCTGATGGTTCCCGACTTTCAATATTTTCAATATTTCCTTCCATTCTCTCCTGTCTTGTAATGTTTCTACTGAGAAATTGGTACTCTACTGGGGTTTCCTTTGCAGGTTACAGTCTTTTATTCCCTGGCTGCCTTGAGCTTTTTTTTTTTTTGTCATTGATTTTTGACAGTTTGAATAAAATGTGTCTTGGAGAAGGTCTTTTTGTGTTGGTATAATTATGTGTTCCATTAGCTCCCTGTATTTTAAATTCCAGTTTTTTTCCATAGACTTGGGAAGTTCTCATCAATTAGTTCATTGAGTAGGCTTTCTCTTTCCTTCTCTTCCTTCTGTTATACTTATTATCCTTAGGTTGCTCTTTCTAATGTAGTTGGATAGTTCTTGTAGAGTGTTGACATTAAAAAAACAAAACAAAACAAAACAAAACAAAAAAATCCACAACTCTTTGTTCTCTCTCTTCTTCCTCCTGGGTTATTCCTAGATTTCTATCTTCAAGCTCACCAATTCTCTCTTTCATCTAATCTGCTCTATTTCCAATGCTCTTTAATACATTCCTCATCTCATTGATTGAGTTCTTCAGCTCCAGAATTTGTTTGGTTCTTTTTTGTAGTTTCAGTCTCTTTGGTAAAGAACTCCTTTTTGTTCATTAATTTTATTCCTGAGTTCATTTAACTGCCTTTCTGAGTTCTCTTTCATACTCTTGAGTTTCTTCATAACTGTAATCTCCAATTCTCTGTCCTTTAAGTCACAGTCTCCCATGACTTTGAGTTTTGTCTCTGGAGATTTTGCATCTTCTTTTTGTGCTCCCAAGGTACCTTGTTTGTTCATGGTATTTGATGGTTTGTTTCTCTGCCCACACAGTTAAGGCAGTGACCTTGTTGTTTAGATACTGTTCTGCTCTCTACAATTCAGCACGTTGATAGGTGGGGTACTTTCTTTTGTTTTCCAGTAGATGGTAGTATAGCACATGTTTTTGTGTTCTCTTACCTGTACCATTAGAACCCCTGGGCTACTGGTGGAGTAGCACCATTCAGATTGAGGAAAACACTGCATATCCACTGGGATGGTGGATGTCCCCTCTGTGACCAGCTTGCCTCGGCTATCAGGCATGGCCATGGTAGTGGGGGACTGTGGTGGGTGGTGGAGAATCAGTTTTGTGAGCTCCCAGAGCTACCTTTTTCTCACTAGTGGCCAGTGACCCTGCTGTTTTTGGAGGCGTCTCACTGTTTCTACTGGGTTATGGTGGGATGGGAAGGGCAGGGGAGGCAAGTTCATGACCTCACATCTCTGCCCCCGTGCCAGGAAAAGCTGCTGGCCCCACTGTGTTGTTTAAAGCTTCCCAGCCCCCTCTACCCAGCTCTGCTGCAATAGAAAGAAGGGAAGTGAGATGCCTTTTTCCAGAGGGAAACTGCTTCTACCCCTCTTACACTCCAGGCCCTCGGGTGAGGGCTGCGGCCGACTTTCCACCGCTACCTTGCTTGCTGGAGTTGCAGTGGCACCGAACTGCTCCTGTTGCCACTGTCCCTGACCTTCCCCATCCCACCTCCCCTACTCGTTCCAATACACCCACCCTCAGATGTCCTGATGCGTTGGGTCTTTCAGGCATGCTTGTGTGTTGAGATAGGGATGCTTTGAGTTATAAATATCTAACTTATTATAAATGTAAAGGGAGAAACAAGGAATCTTGTCAGTCTGCCATGATGGAGATGTCAATTTAGGAATTATTCAAAAGGTTTTCTAGAAGAACTGGAATTAGACATGAGCCTCAGAGGGAGGGCTGCACCCAGGAAAAATATGATGAAGGTGAGCCCAGCCCTAGAGGTGAAGGTGAGCCCAGCCCTAGAGGCTTTAGGATGTAGAAGTAGTGTGTGTGGGGGCGGGGGGCGGGTATCATTCTCCCACTTGTCAAAAGTGGAAGCTGAGACCCAACAAGGGGGAACGAATATGCAGGTGGTCGGGAGACCATGGTTTTACTCTACCAGCATCTTCCCAAGCATGTTCCTTGGAATGGCAGAATATCAAAACACCGCCTTTCCCCCAAAAAGCGTTCTTAGGAAAACGCTGTCTCTTATAACCATCACCCACCTTGGAGATTCAAAGCCCACCTAGACATGTGACAGACCCAGTGGTCTGAGTCTCCCCAATTTAACTTTGCTTGTCTCAGTGTTTCCCAGACAACTGTGATAATGGGTCCCCCATTTCCCCGCTTGGGGGAGGGAGTACCCACTGACATCGCACAGAATCAGAGTGCCACAAACCCACCCTGGGAGGTGCTGCTCTGCCCGAGTTACCCCCAGATGCTCTCCAGGGACTTGAGAAGCTTCACATTTCCCAGGGCTCCTGGCCTTTCAGGGGCTCTGACACTGTGCTGTGACCTCGGGCAGTCACTTCTCCTTTCCCTGAAGGACATAGGTGCCTCTTACCTGCACGCTGGAGGCTAAGTCAGAGGTGGCATTTGGGGAAGCTGATGGACAGTTCTCTCTCTTTCCTACAGCTGGGCCGTCCCCCCTATGTCAGCGAGCGGGCGGACACGGTGCGCCGCAAGGGCCAGGTACAGCAGGAGGCAGGGAGCACCCTGTATGTGGAAGAGGCCCGGGATGGGGACGCTGGTGTCTACACTTGCCGGGCCACCAACCTTCAGGGCACCAGGGCTGCCACCACTCGCATCCAAGTGACCCAAAGCTCTCGTGTCTCTCCTGCCCCTTCCTAACTCCCTCCTTGGCTGCAGGCTTCTGGGTATGGGGCAGTGGGCAGAAGTAGGTAACAGTGTGAACTTGGGTGTTCTGTATGCCAAGGAGGTGCCCCCACAGGGGAGAAAGAACCTTAGCCATCACCCCTTACACTCTTCTGTCTCTACTGTTACCCCTCACTGCACGTTCATCGCCTCACTCCAAGCCCTGACCTGTTCTGATAGCCAGCCTGTACCCCAACCCCAGGTCCTGAGGCTGGGCAAAGCTAGGGCCAGCGGGGCACCAGCACCCAGAGGGAGCTCAGAACCTGCTGAGTCACCCAGGCCCCAGGACTGATTCCTCACAGATGCCTGCCCCCAGCAGAGGTCATCGGGAGAACCCACCTCCTCCCTCTCCCAGGAAAACACAGAGGCCAAGTGAATACTATTGTGCTTCTATTTGGTTTCCATAGCTTGTCTGCTCCAGGGTGATTTATCTCCTCACAGTCACCACAGGCTACCCAAGGAAACCCTGCTCCCCACAGCTTGCCTCCTTGCCAGCCCAGCCCCTCCCATTAAAACAATGCTTTCCAGAAACATAGTCAAAGAAGTTTAGGAAATGCCATAGTCAAAGAAGTTTAGGAAATGCCGAGTACTTTGAGTACTTCGTTTCTTTCTTGGGACTTTGCAATGTATGTTAGCATATTAAAGGTTCTGAGAAGTCCTGCAGTTTACAGATCTGCTTAATCAAATTGAACCTAGAGTTTCTCAAATTACCTGACCACCAATTCTTTTCTTGGTTATGCCTATTAACGTCCAATGGACTAGTGTATCCCGACGGGCTTTGGGATAAGTTACGTGAAGAAGTACGTATGTACTTCACTCCAGAGCTGCTCCAAGACTCCTGGATGGCCCACCTGCCTATCGCCAGACTCCCCTAGCCCTGCCGAGCTCCCAGAACTAGAAATGGATGGAGAAGGCAGTCTGGGATGACTGAGAATACAGAAGGCAGCCTGGGGCAACAGAAGAAACCTTAGTTCCAGTGGACTAACTTTTCCTCTGTGTTGGCCCAGGGCTGGGGGCTGGAGCTGGGGGCCCCAAGGCCCTTTGGCTCCTGGGATCTCAGTCTGCTTTGATGCTGAAGAGGGGTAAGAACCTGCTGCAAGGATCCTATGAGCTCAGAGGAGGGAGTGTCTGTAAGCACTGAATTGAAATGCTCTAAGCAAGGAAGGTTATTATAGCCTCCAGTTGACCGGAAGCCTCCTGAGAAGAATCTTAAATCCACAGATGTCAGGGCTGGACAAGTCTGCGGAGGTGAGTTCCTTACTCCAGCCACCTCTTTGCACTAGGCCTAGGATCAGGGGTGGTAGGAGGAGTTAAGGTGCGAGCAGGAGTAAGAGAGAGAGGGACTGGGTGGGGGCGGGAGAGAGGAAGGAGAGAAGGACCGGCACAGATCTGACCGTCCCAGAGCCCAGGAGAAGAGAAAGCACGAGATAGGACCTGGAGAACAGGAGGTCCAGTCCTGGCTTTGTGAGTCCCACTCCACACCCAGGTTTCCTCGTCTGTGCAGAGATGAGGTGCCAGCTCTGGCTGTGGAGTACACTCAGACCCACCAGGTGGCCCCCATGCCCACGCGGCACAGAGCCGGAGGGACCTGAGGGCTGAGGAGTGAGCTTCGCCTGGTTAAGGAGGAGGAGCTCTGGCCAAAACCCCTGGGTTGGCTGGACTCTGGGACCAGGAGCAGTGGCATGTCCGACACCCTGCCCAGACCCTGCCTTGGCTGGGTTGATCCCTGGCACTGCCAGCCCCAAGGGCCCAGTGACCCCTCCCAGACGCTCACCTGTCCCAATTGAGGCTTAGGGTTTGGCTCACCTCCTCCCCTGTCCCGCAGTTCCTAGTCTGACCTTCAGACCATCCTAGAATGGGACACTGTAGTGACTTAAGAGTCATTCTTCAGTTCCTCGAACCGTTTTAGAGGAGTGGTAAACTGAGGCTGAGAGAAGGCCAAGGCAGGAGTGGGGACATCTAGGGGTAAGCTGATGAGCTGGCAGCAGAGCTGACAAGTTAGGACCAGGAGGTTGTGCCCTCTTCGCCCGATGGTCAAAGCGGCACAGGCTCCCCCGGGAAAAGCCTCGAAACTCCCTGATCTGAGCAGAGAGCGGGCAGGGAGCGAAGGACTCCTCTTGCTTGTTCCCTGGGCCAACTCACGAGAAGGCTCCTTGGGGCTTCTAAAGCCCCATGGGTGATTCTGGGTGGCCCAGCCCCCGGGGCTCCCTGGGCACACACCCTGCTCCCATCTCACCCCTGCCCCCGTCCCCTCCTGACAGAACGAGAGGCTCCTGCTGTCGTCCTGGAAGGTCCTGGGGAGGGAGCTATGACCACAGGTGTCGTGTTGCCCAGGCCCCGAGCCTATGTGGCCAGGAAGGAGACTTCAGTGGGGGTGACGGAGGCCAGCGGGAAGGCGGGGGACGCATCAGCCCCGAGGACCCGGTAGAGCAGCTCCTCCTTCTCCTGCTGGAGCTGCCGCCTTAACTGTGACTCCTTGTCCAGGGCCTCGTGGGCGAGGAGCAGGTCCTCCGACAGCTGCCTGTGGAAGCAGACAGAGGCCGGGGTTGCCCCTCGAGGTCTCAAGTGACCGCCGAGACCAACCTACTCTTCTAGGGTGCCTTCCTTAGGTGGGCCCCCGCCTGCTCCAGGGTCCCCACCGGCCCATTGTGCCCCCTTGAATGCAAGAGGTGATTTGATCTGTTGACCAAGGAGTGTGGTCCTCACAGGCAGACAGCTCTGGGTTCAAATCTGCCCCGTCACTTAGCTGTGCACCTTGGACCAGTTATTTAGTCTCGTCCAAGTCCAGTCCCCTCATTTGTAGACTGGAAATGAGAAGAATGGGATCCAGCTCGTAGAGGAATGAGGAGGATTAGATCATGTGTCAAGTATTCAACAAACTGTGTCTGACACGTGATATTAGCTCTCACTTACCAAGCCCTTAGACCTAATCCATTCATGGACATTCATTCATTCATTCAGCCCCGTGAGCTGTTCTCAGGTGGGCTTTCCCACGAAGCCCACTCAGCCAGGATGGGGACAAACAGATACTAATCAGGGCCCTTGATTTAGGTCTCCAGGCAGAGCTGGTCCCTAGGGATACACGGCTCCCCAGGAAAAAGGAGCCACATCCCCTGGGTAGGCCTGGGCCTACCTGTCAACCCATTCCTTGGGCTTCTCTGAGACGCTCAACCAGAGGTTTTGGCAACAAGGGTGGGGACTGGAGGGAAGGAGGCAGGGGGACAGCTACCTGGACACAACCGCCTGGTTGCGGCCTCGGACCAGGAGGTCCTCATTCTCCTGTTGGAGGGTGGTGATCTTCTCCTCCAACATCAGGTTTTTTTCTTTCTGTAACAGATTAGAATGAGCTCAGAAAATCACCAAACTCACATGACACAATGTGTGCCGTCACCGCACTCTTATCTGTGGTCGCTGAAAACACTGACTCACGCTAGACCATCTGTTACATCTCACGCAGTAATGAGATTACTTAAAAAAATAAAACTAAGGTGTGAACAGAGGGCTGCCCGCTTTTGATTCTGCCGCATGAGAATGTTAAAGGGAGGATACAACCACTGCCAGCTAGTATCTCCATCATTTCAGAAGAGAAAGGATATTCTTGTTTCTCCCAAAGTTAGGGGGTATAGAATACATATAAATAAAATTAAGAGTGTTTGTTATGCTATGCCATAAAAATGGTTGATCAAAATTTCTAGGGCACCCTGGCTGGTGTAGCTCAGTGGGTTGAGTGCTGTTCTGTGCACCGAAAGGTCGCTGGTTCGATTCCTGGTCAGGGCACATGCCCAGGTTGCGGGCTCAATCCCTGGTTGGGAGGCAGCTGATCTCTCTCACCTGGATGTTTCTCTCTCTCTCTCTCTCTCTCTCAAATTAATAAGAACATATTTTTAAAAACGGATGGGGAACATTTGAGAGGGTCTGATTAAAATATAGGTTGTGCAGCACACACAGGACCAGGGAGACTTCTTCCAGAGCAGTGTAATCTCTGCTCAGACTCAGCCCTAGGTTTCCAAGGCCTCCCTTCTCCTGGAGACAAAACCACCTATGTCCTTAATGCCTGCCGCTCCCCAGGCCTGTCCTTGCTCACTTTGGTCCCCCGTGTCTGTTTGGTTTGTCTGCCTTCCTTAGCCCCCGCTGGACATGTGACATCTGCCAGCCCCACCTGATGAGCCAGGCTACCTGCCCTGGTGTCACCCATGTCACAGCCACATCAGTAACCAAGGAAAGTGCAGGATCCAGATGACAAGAAGCCACTGCTTGACCTGGACTGGTTTCAGAGTAGCCTCAGCTGTCCCAAGGGCCAGCATGGGTGCAGGTCATAGCTGGTGGGGGCCTCGCCGGGGTGCCTCCCCTCTGCACGTTCCAGAGAGGAAACACTCAGGAAGCCGGGGCCTGAGGCTGCACCCCCAGCGTCTTCCACCCACGTACCACTGTTTCCATGAGGATCAGCCGCTTGTCTAGCTCATGAATACGCTCATTCTTCATCTCGATGACAAAGTGCAAGCTCTCCAGCTCCTGCTCCCAGAACTGACTGGGGCTCCCATAATCCTAGACAGGGACACGGAGTGACTTCATCAGGTCAGCAGGCAGAGGGGGGGCTCTCTCCCTCCTCCCGCTCAGTTTGACGTACAGAAGTCACCTCCCTTTCGTGGCCCGTGGTAAGCGCTTAGTACGCTTCGTCTCACTCTGTCCCAGTAACACCCCTTGAGGCACCGCAGGTGAGGAAACCACGGTTCCGATAGGTTAAGCTGCTCGTGCTAAGTGGCGGGTTTGCTGTTTGCACCTAGTTCTCTCTGAATCCAGAGCCTGAGCATTTACTGTCTCATATGCCTCTCTCTGAGCCGTACTCCCGCCCCCCACCCCGTGACATGGGGACCCTGTTTCTTCCAGCCCCTTGTGAAGGTAAGAATGTCAAGTCTGAGCCCTGTCCTTGAAGAGGGACTGGCCTTTCCCGTGGCCCAGACCCCGCCTTCCCTGGAGATTTCAGAGGAAAGGCCCCAGGTGAACTGCACCCACCTGGATGTGCTTCTTATAGTCTCGGCTTAGAATGGACTCCTCTACCCGCTTCATCTTGGCTTGGAAGGCCCCCAGCTGGGAGGTCAGTCCATCTATGGTCTCCTGCAGAAGGGAGCAGGAAGGAGATGATCAAAGCCTGGTGCACAAAGGCATCGGTGAACTTCTCCACACCCCAGAAAGGGATCAGTTTGGGCTCCTTCAGTCTGTCTTTGCTCTACCATACCCAACAATGCAGGCCCAAACCACTCCAACCGCTGCTTGAGACACACCAGCCCCGCCTCTTGATCTACAGCCTTTGCTGCCTCTCCGTACCGTGGGGACAATGTCCTGGGATTTAAGGCCAGCGCTAGCTTGGCATTCAAAGCACTTCCAAACCGGGCTCAGCACACTCTGCCAGTCTCATCTCTCATGGCTGCCCGCTACACACCATCTCCTGCAGACAAATATCTCATCTCTCCTTCCACCGCAAGGTGCATTCTTGTCTCCACAACCTTCCCCTGCCAAGAACTTCCTCCACCCAACTTGCCTTTACTATGATTCATAGGCTCCCCCGCATTTGGCCCTTGCCCACCTCTGCAGCCTCGGTTCTTTCCCACTACTCTATACCCCAGGCATCCTGGACTTCTTTTAGCTCCATAGGTATTCTGTATTTCCCCCTTCCCTCCATGCCTTGGGACACCCTGGGTTTTTCTGCATAAGGCATGCTTCCTACCCTTCACCTGAAGAATTCCACTCTACCCTTCAGGTTCCGGCTTAGATCTCACTCCCTTTAGGAAAGCCCTGACCAGCCTAATTGGGTCAGATGCCTTCTTTCGTGCTTCCCCGGGCCCCTGTGCCTCCTCCCACCAGTCTAATCACACTGTGGCCCCGGCCCACGAGGTCTCCAAGGTCCTCCCAACAACAGGCCTTGGAAAACTAGGCCAACCCTAATCTCGAGCCTGGTTGCCACAGCAAGGAGCCTGGATACATGGAAGGCAGTCAGCTCTGTCCCTCACACCTAGGTCGAGGCCATCAGCTCTGGCTTCTTTGGGGCTCCATGCTGCTTTCCTGCAGGTGCTCCCCTCATCTCACAGAGACGGACATGGCCCAGCCCCTCTTACCTGCAGGGACGCCTTGGCCTCCTGGAAGGAGTGGGTGAGGGCTTCTTTCTCTTGCTCATAGGAGGCCCGGAGGACTGTAGGGACACGAGACCTCTGTGAATGCAGACACTCAGACCCTTCACCCTGACGCCCTCCGGCAGGGCCCATGGAGGCCAAGAGTGTGGGGATGCTCTTATTCATCCTCCTAGCTTAAGGGCTTGGGGCTGTGTCAGAAACACAGTAGGTATCTAATAAAAGCTTATGGAAATGGAAACAAATCATATCCTGCGAGGAACCGTGAACCCTACCAGATTGTGGGTGCCAGCCACACCCCGCGGAGGCTAAGATTCCAAAGATCTTACGGCAAGCTGGTCATCGCAGACCACAGCCTGCCACGGGAAGTGTGAGGGCCAATGTTTTGTTGGCTGGGTTAGCCAAATCATGAAATCCCGAAGTCCTTCGTTGTCAAACCATGGCACAAAACTACAGTAAGTACATTAGATGTGGGGCCAGGAAGCCTACCTGGTCCCGATTCTGCTTCTTCAAAACTGAGAACACTTGAGGTCACTTAAAATATCTAGAAGTCCTGCCCAGGCAGCTTGGCTCAGCGGACTGAGTGTTGTCCCATGGACTGAGAGGTCCTGGTCGATTTCCGGTCAGGGCACATGCCAGGGTTGCCAGGGTTGTGGGCTCAGTAGGGGGCGTGCAGGAGGCAGCCGATAGATGTTTCTCTCTCTCTCTCTCTCCCTTCCTCTCTCTCTAAAAAATCAATAAAACATATTTTTAAAAATATCTAGAAGTCCAGCCCTGGCCGGTTTGGCTCAGCGGTTGGAGCGTCGGCCTGTGGTACAGAGAGACCTGGGTTCGGTTCCCGCTAAGGGCACGTACCTCGGTTGCAGTTTGTCCCTGGCCCTGGTTGGTCGTGTGGGTGGCAGCCACTCGATGTGTCCCTTCACATCGATGTTTCTCTCTCTCTCTCTTCCTCTCTCTCCCTCCCGCTCTATCTGAACAAAAAATAGAAAAATGTCCTTGGGTGAGGATAAAAAAAAAATATATATATATATATATATATATATATATATATATATATCTAGAAGTCCTTTTCTCTCGACTGTGAAGTGGGTCAATAAGCCTGGCCTAGCTGTCTCTAAGGGGTGAGAAAGGGACATGCAAGGGTTTTCCAGGCTGGGCAGCGCTGTGCGGAGCTGGATTTGCCGTTCCTCAAATCAACACAGTTCTAGTTGTCATCCCACCTCCTCTACAAAGCACCTCCTGAAGAATTCCAACCATGTCTCAGCAGAAGGAAGATAACACAGAAAGGACCAATCAAGGGTGGGATGGGAAACCAGACGGAAAGCTCAAGACAGCCAAAGACCCTGGTGCAGAAGGGGTCTGGGCCACAGTGGGCAGTGCCACAGGGGAAAGAACGTTCAGTCATATAAACGGGACAGAGCTGTCAAAAATCGATAAGACCTGCTGTACAAAAATTACAGGCTTACTTTTTTAAAATCATGGGCTCAATTTGCCTAGTCGATTTGCCCATCAGTATAGGCTGTGGTTCCCGATGAGATGGAGGTGGCGCACTCCATCCAGTCCGTCCGACTGAATGTGGCTATACGATCTGGACAGAGTAAAGGAAACAGCCATTTCCAGGCTCTGAAAGTAAACAGTGGCAGGCAGATTGGGCAAGAAGACCAGAACTTAAAGTATCACTAGACCAGTAGATTTAAACAAGACCCAGAATCTCATGTACTCAAATATTCAAAAAGCCCAGGGTACAATACAGAATTGCTCAGCATATGAATCCAAGATGACTCAGCATACAAATCCAAAATTGCTCAGCACGCCATCCCAAATACTTAGTATACAAAGTAGCAAGAAAATCTCAACTTGCCTGAGAAAATAAATTCAGCAGATACCACCACTGAGACGCCACAGAACAGTGACCAGGGACGTAAGGCGGCCACTATGAAAGCGCTCCATGAAGTCAGGGCGAACACTCTTAGAAAGAATGGAAAAACAGAAAGTCTTAGCAGATAAACAGAAGCTATTTAGAAGAACCAGGAGGAAATTTTAGAACAAAAAAATACAATGAATGAAATACAAACTCGGGCTCAATAGGAGAATAGAGATGACGTGCAAAAGAGCTAACGAAGCTGAAGACAGACCAGTAGAAATGATCCAGTCTGAACAACAGAGAGAAAATATGAGAAAACTGAACAGAGCCTCAGGGACCTTTAAGATAATCTCGAAACATCTAGCATTTGTGTCATCAGTGTCCCAGAAAGAGAAGAGTGTAGCCCAGAAGACCTATTTGAAGACATAATGGCTGAATGCTTCCCAAATGTGACAAAACAAACCTATAGATTAAAGATGCTCACCGATTCCCAAACAAAGTAAACCCAAAGGGATCCACACCCAGACACATTATTTTTGAGAACTAATGACAAAGAAGAACAATCTGGAATGAAACCAGAGAATAATAGTGTATTACCTAGAGAAAACAACAGTTTGAATGACTGTGGATTTCTCATTAGAACCCTTAGTGACTAGAAGGAATAAGCACATTTTTAAACTACTGAAATAAAAGAGCTATACATCCAGAATCCTATATCCAGTAAGAGTATCCTTCAGGAAAGAAGGTAAAGATTTTCTCAGAGGTAGCACACTAAAAGAATTTATCACCAGCTCACCCTGAGCAGACCAGCTCAATGAAATTCTTCAGACAGAAGGTAATGATACCAGAGGAAAACTTGGAACTTTAGGATATATGGGAAAAGCAACAGAACTGGTAAATATAACAGACTATTCTTCTTCCCTTGAGATCTTTAAAATACGATCGATGGTTAAAAGCAAAAATTATAACATTGTCTGGCGGGGTATTCAATGTACATAAATGTAAGACATAAGACAAATACAATAAAAAGGGGAGAGGACAGTAATGATGATGATAAGGTTCCTATATTCCACTTGAAGTGGTAAAATATTAACTTAAGTAGACTGTTGCATATACTGTAATTCTTAGAGCAATGATCTCTCTCTCTCTCTCACACACACACACACAGAAAGAGTAAAAGAGACAATTGGTAAGTTAAGACGGAATACTAAAAAATGTTCAAATACTCCAAAAGAAAGCAGGAAAGCAAAAAGAGAGGATTAAAAACCAGAGGACAGAAAGCAAATACAAAAATGACCTACTTAAATTCAACCATATCAGTAACAACATTAAATTAAATGGTCTAAACATACCAAATAAAAGACAGAGAATATCTGAGTGGATTAAAAAAACAACAACTATGCGCTATTTATAAGAAACCCACTTTAAATATACATTACAGGTAGATTAAAAGTAAAAGGGTGGAAAAGCAAACTAATCAAAAGAAAGCTATAGTGGCTATCTTAATTTCAGATGAAGTACACGAGAGAATAAGGAAGATTATCAGGGATGAACATAATGATAAAGGGGTCAATTCTATAAGAAGACATAATAACTAAACATAAGCAAGTAAATAGAAAAAAGGCGAGAAATAACAGAAATCAATGAGATTGAAAATGAAAAAAAAAAATGGGGGCCGGGGGGACAATAAAACCGAAAGCTGGTTCTTTGAAAGGATTAATAAAATTGATAAACTTCGAGTAAGATTGACAAAGAAAAGCAGAGAATGCACAAATTACCAACATCAGTGACCAAGCAGGGGCTATCACTCCAAACACGGAATATTTAAAACAATATTAAGAAACTTCTACAAACAATTCTATGCACATGAACTCAATAACTGAGATGAAATGTATCAATTCCTGAAAAACTACAATATACCAAAACTCACCCAAGATAAACTACATAACCTGGACATTCCTATAACCATCAAAGAATTTGAATTTGTAGTTAAACACTTTCTAGAAAAAAATAATCCAAGCAAAGATGGTTTCAATGCCAAATTATACTCAACATTTTAAAAAATGATACAACACCAATTTTATACAATCTCACCCAGAAACAGAAGAGGAGGGGACACTTCCCAACTCATTCCATGAGGCAAGCTTTACCTTGATACAAAACCAGACCGATGGTACAAAAAAACTACAAACCAATATCCCTCGTAAAAACAGCCACGAGGATCCTCAGTAAAATATTAGCAAATCAAATTCAGCAATACATCCAAAGAATAATATACCATGACCAAGTGGGGATTATGCCAGGAATGCAAGGCTACGAATGCAACGTTTGAAAACTCAAATCAATGAAATCCACAATATTAATAGTTGAAAGAAGAAAAACCCCATCATTTTATGAATCACCGACCTAAATGTAAAACTATAAAGCTTTTAGAAGACAACATAGAAGAAGATCTTTGTTACCTGGGGTTCAGCAGAGAGTTTTAGATATGACACCAGAAGCATAATCAATAAAAGAGAAACCAATGCACTGGAATGTATCAAAATTAAAAGCTTTGCTGTTAAGAAAATTAAAAGACAAAACAAAACAGTCCAGCCAGTGTGGTTCAGTGGTTGAGCGTAGACTCATGCACCAAGAGGTCACTGGTTCAATTCCTGGTCAGGACACATGCCCAGGTTGTGGGCCCGATCCCCAGTGGGGGCATGCAGGAGGCAGCCAATCAATGTTCTCTGTCATCGATGTTTCCATCTCTCTCTCCCTCTTCTTTCCTCTCTCTCTAAAATCAATAAGGAAAAACAAAATTAAAAAACAAAACAAAACAAAAAAACCCTACAGTTCAGGAGAAAATATTTGCAAATACAAAGGACCCATATCTAAAAAAATATAAAGACCTCTCAAAACTCAACAGTAAAAACAAGCCAGCTAATTAAACTAGACAATTATTTGAAAAGGCATTTGACCAGAGGATATACAGATAGCAAGTAAGCAGAAGAAAAGGTGTTTGAAATAATTAGTCATTATTGAAATGTAAATTGAAGCCACGAACAAATATTACCGCACACCTATTAGAGCAGCTAAAATGAAGAACATTGACAAGTGTTGGCAAGAAAGAATAGTGGAACTTACATTGCTGATGGGAGTGTAAAATGATGGTAACTAGGGGCAACACTTTAGCCATTTCTCCTGAAGCTAGACATACATTTATATATGGCCTATCAATCCCTCTCCTGTGGATTTACCCAAGAGAAAAGGAAACTTCTGTCCACACAAAAACATGTAACCAATTGTTTAGAAGAGATCTATTCATAATCACCTTAACTTGGCAAAAACCCAAATGTCCCACAAATGAATGAGTGAACAATGCAATACAACTCAGCAATGAAAATGAATCAACTAATGAGACTTGCAACAACTTGGATGAATCTCAGAGGTATCAGGATGAATGAAAGACACCAATAAAAAATGATACTGTATTATTTTGTTTATATAACAACCTCAAAAAGACAAAGTGATAGTGCTGAAGAACAGATCAGTGGTTGCCAGGGGGTGGAGTAGGAGAGGCTGAGAGAGTCTTTTTGGGGTGATGGAGCTGTTTTGTATCAGATTATGGTGATGGTGACACAAATCTATGTATGTGTTAGAATTTATGGAACTGGACACCCAAAAGAGTCAAGTTTGTTTTTAAAAACAAAAACAAGTCTGGCCAGTGTGGCTCAGTGGTTGAGCATCGACCCATGCACCAGGAGGTCGCTGGTTTGATTCCCGGTCAGGACACATGCCCGGGTTGTGGGCCTGATCCCCAGTGGTGGGCATGCAGGAGGCGGCCAATCGATGTTCTCTCTCATTGATGTTTCTATCTCTCTCTCCCTCTCACTTCCTCTCTCTCTCAAATCAATAAAGGAAAAAATAAGTAAATAAAAACAAAAATTGACAATAAAATACAAGACAACAAAAGGTCATCAAATGTGGAAAACCACCACTAGCCTCTCCCAGTTTCCTGTATACCTCCCCCCAAAACAAACTCATATATTGCCCCCATGCTGTGCTTTTATTCATTCATTTAATACATGTTCATGTAGCACTTAATATGTGTGAAGACACTTAATAATAACTATGAGAGGTGGGAAGAACTGATAGGAAGAACTCCAGACAGACAGTCCCTTCTTCTCTGGGGTTTTATATTAGGACCTTAAAAAAAAACATTTTTTTTTCTTTATTGATTTGAGAGAGAGAGTAAGGGAGATGGAGAGACAGACGGAAACATCGATGAGAGAGAACATCGATTGGCCACCTCCTGCATGCCCCCACTGGGGATTTGGCCCACAACCTGGGCACGTGCCCTGACTGGGAGTCAAACCAGTGACCTCTTGGTGCGTGGGTCATGCTCAACCACTGAGCCACACTGGCTGGGCCAGGAACTTTTTAAAAATCAATATATTTATAATGCTAAAAATAATATCACAGCAATGCTTAGAGAACAGAGTTGTTTTCCCATAACAGCCTTGTGAGGTAGGGAAGGTAGGTTTTAGATATATGGAAAGTGAGCTGAGATTCAAGGTGGATTTTAGAGACACAGAAAACGAACCGAGCTCAAATGACAGGCTGAGTTTCCAAGGTATATTAGTATTAAAACACAACTCCTCAAATTCGCAGAGCAAGGGCCTCAATTCCATTTCAAAATATTTTGTGCTAATGTTGCAATATATTTCAAGATTCTTAAAATTGTTCAGATCTCTGTTCTAGTTATTCCATTTCTGGTAATCTGAGGACATCATGTGAAATGTGGGCACATCTTTATGCAAAAGGCATTTAGTGCAGTGTTATTTATAGTAGTTAAAATCTAGATGTCTAGACTCACGGGAAATTAAGGACAACCCTGTATGCAACGGTCTAGCCTTTATAAACATTTTAGTAGCAGCAAAATTACGTGGACACGTGTTTGATACAATGTTAAATGAAAAGAACAGGGTACAAAATTTTACCTATACGTAATCATCACTGTGTTTTTAAAGTATAAATAATTCTGGGGAAAGGTCATGCAAATACTGATAATTAAAGGGAAAACCAGCATAACATTTTCTAGGTCAACTTCAATAGCATCAAAAACATATGTAAACTTTTCCAAAGAAGATATACAAATGGCCAAAAAGCACATGAAATGATGCTCAGCAAAATTAGTCATTAAGGAAATGCAAAGCAAAACCACAATCAGAAACCACTTTGCACCCAATAGAATGGTGCAATAATATTAATAACAACAGTATCAGCAACAATGGAAAATAGCAAGTGTTGGCAAGGATGCGGTGCAACTGGAACCCATGTGCATTGCTGAGGGGAACATCAAATGCAGCCACTGTGGGAAACAGCTGGCGGTTTCTTAAAAAGTTCATAAAATGACTGTATGACCCAGCGACTCTGCTGCTGGGTGTACACCCAGGGGAACCGGATGCAGGCATTCCTAGTGGCACTATTCATGGTGGCCAAAGGGTGGAGGTAGCCCATGTGTCCATCAACCAGTGAATGGAAACAAGGTGTAGTGCCCATGCCAGTAATAATGAAATCTTATTCAGCCACAAAAAGGAATGGAGTAATTTGTAAAATGGCTGAAACAACAACAACGACAAAGGAACACACGTGCTGTAGTCTGGGTGAGCCTTGGAGATACGCTGGATGAGGAAAGCCAGGTGGGGAGGCCACAGGTTGTATGCGTCCATTTAGATGAGTGCCCAGAATAGACAAAGCCAGGAGACAGTGGGCCCGTGGCTGCCAGGGGCTGGGGGTTGGGGAGGGGGTAGGCGGTTTACTTTTTGGGTGATGAGACTGTTCGGGAACTGGACAGTGGTGATGGTGATGAATGGACGGTGGTGATGAATGTGGCCAAGATTTTACCAAATGAAAGTCATACATGTGTAAGTATCATGACTATTGTAAAAAGTGTAAAAAGTTTGAAATGACCTAAATGCCTAACCAAAGGGGCCCAGTTAAATGAACAAGGGTACACATTGGAATGTTGTGTTGTTACTAAAACTGATGTCACAGACGTTTAATAAGTTGTTAATACAATTCAAAGTAAAAACAAACAATTTCTCTTCTCCCCCCCAAAGTATATGTGTGTGTGTATATTCTAGGCGTATACAAAAAAAGGGATCTATATCAAAGGGGTAACTGACCAGTTCTGAGTGGAATTGCATACAATTTTAATTTTCTCAATAATAAAATAATAATGCTAATAATTATTTGTTAAATATCTTGCAAAATACCAGGCCCTGTTCTAAATTCTATCTATTTATCAATCTATCTAAAAATTAAATTCAATACCCTAAGAACAAAGCTAACTCACTCCTTTAAGTTTACACAGCTGATAAGTGGTAGAACGGGGTTCAAATCCAGGGCCTATGGCTGTTGAGTCTGAGACACCAAGCACTGTGCTGTAAGATCTTTTTGGTTGAGCTATAGATTCTACATTTCCTATGAGGACTATATTTGGTGATATAAGAGGAAAGAAAGCGATTTGAAAGAAATAATCAACCTAACCAGAAATTTTAAGTACTGTCATTATTGTGGGGAAGAATATGAATATTTAAAATTCTTCTATATGTCTAGGTTTTTCAAATGTCCTTTAAGAAATATGAATTGATGCCCTGGTCGGTTTTACTCAGCGATTAGAATGTCGGCCTGTGGACCAAAGAGTCCCGGGTTCGATTCCGGCCAAGGGCATGTGCCTTGATTGTGGTTCGTCCCCAGCCCCGGTTGGGGTCATGTGGGTGGCAACCGGTTGAAGCGTCTCTCTTACATTGATGTTTCTCTCTCCCTCTCTCCTTTGTGCTCTGTCTGGAGATAAATGTAAAGATATCCTCAGGTGAGGACAAAAAAAGAAAAAAAGAAATATGAATTGCTTTTAAAATGGAAAAGAAAGCCCAAAAAGAAAAACAAATTTCCATCTCAGGTAAAAGAAGGCATGGCATCAGACTTTCAAAGCTATGCCCCAAAGGACAGGTCCAAGGACACTACAGACTCCAGCCCTGAAACAGCCAACTGCTTGTGAACCAGACTCCAGTGGGAGTCTCCCCCGTGACCTTGGCAGATGGGACCAGATGGGACTCCTCCACCCCCCCAGAGCAGCATCTCCATCCTTACCTTGCAGGGCTGCCTCGTGCTCTCCCTCCAGGGCTCTTCGCTGCTCGTCCAGTTTCTCTTGAAGCTCCAGCTCCCTCTCCTTCTCCACCTGGGGGCGGGGGTGCCAAGCAGGATGAGACTGAATGGGGTCAGGTTCAGCAGAGCCTCACTTATCCGATCGCTGCCCCCTGGAGCTATGTGGAGCTGGGTGATCAGAGTCCCGCCTCCTCATCAGAGTGATGGAAACGCACTCAGAGAGGGCACAAGGCCTCCCAGACATTGCAGGCGTGGATGACAGCCTTCTTTTGGGCTTAGAGGGGAGTCCCAGACATTATCTAGGTGGAAAGGGGACTTAGGAGTCTTCTAATTCTGACGCCCACTCAAGGTAGGAAGCCCTTCTACTGTGTTACAATGTCTCCCCAGCTTTCTTTGCACATAATGAATATCAGGAAACACATGCAAGCAGTTACAGACATTTGTTCAACAGATAAAGGACTCCGTCCTGGGAAAAGGAGTAAGAGATACTTACCACAACAATACGACCAAAAGTTGGTCCTCTCTCTTGCATTTGCAAGGTTAGCTGTGCAGGAGAAGAGAGCGGTTGGGGCTTACCTGCTGTGCCCATTTCTTCTTGTCTTCTTCGTGCTGCTGGAGAAGTCTGGTAACATCCTGCCGGTGCTGCTCAGCCTCCTCAGGTGCACAGAGCTGGACAGCTGCGGCTACAGGTGCGGAAGCAAAAATAAATAGGTAAGTAAATTAAAAATAAAATAAAAGCACATTGAGCAGAAGTGTGGTAATCACAGTGGCAGAGAGCATGTGGGGGGCTGGGGCTGGGGGGTGAGAAGCCTGATCACCACCTCAGGAATGGTTTCAGCTGAGGATCCACCTCCAGAGGCAGCTCCCGACCCCTGTGGCTCTGCAGTCCCTCAGGACAGGAGCCCGTGGTCAGGTTGCTCCCTGGCATCTACCGTAGAGTTGGCAACTCCCAGGGCAAAGTCAGCCCATTTGCCCTACCCAATATCCACATTTGAAAAATTAGTTGCTGATATTTAATGACCGGGCAGCTTTTACTTAATACCAAAGAATGGGCAGTGTGTGCCTTAGTGTCAACCAGGAGCTGGGGGTCAGGAGCAGCTGCCTCCCCTGGTCCGGGCGGTGGCTCTGCGGTTTGCCAGTCCTCGCCTCTTCCTCCTGAGGTGTGTCTAAGGGGTCACTTGGTCCTGGGCTATACCTGCTGGGGCCTGGGAGTGTCTGATCCTCACTTTAGCATTTCCTCAGCTGGAGGGCGAGGAGCTGCCTGAGCAGGAAGGAGCCACAAACAAACAGCAAGTCCAGCCCTTGCTTAGGGAAACTCCAAAACAGGCCCTGCGATGCCACGTGCAGTCTAACAGGCTCCGGGTATGACCTGAGGCAGTGACCCATCCCCTCTGTGCCTGTTACTCAATATGTGAAATCAGGACTAATAACACATTCCTCACCGGGCTACTGAGATGATTACATCAGAAAACAATGGCGATAGAAATAACAACAGCAGGTGAGAACTACTGAGAGCTTAGCACGCCCAGGAGCATGCCCAGCTCTTCTCCAACAGCCATACAGGTATTACTCACTTAATCCTCACAACCTACCCAGTGGGGTGGAGACCGTGATTCTTCCCATTTCACAGGTGAGGAAACTGAGGGACAGAGAAGTTAGGCAATCTGCCCAAGATTTCCCATTTCACAATGGGGAAGAAGGGCTATGAACCCACACAATCTGATTCCACGGCAAACTCTGCTAACCACCTCCTTATTCACCTGATTACGCACAAAAAGCAATTAAGTGTGAGCCCTGGCCTGGTAGCTCAACTGGTTAGAGCATCATCCAGATACACCAACGATGTGGGTTTGATCCCTGTCAGGGCACATACAAGAATCAACCAATGGCCTGGCTGGTGTGGTTCAGTGGATTGAGCGTTGTCCCATGGACTGAGAGGTCCCCGTTTGATTCCCAGTCAGGGCACATGCCCGGGTTGCGGGCTCGATCCCCAGTAGGGGGCATGCAGGAGGCAGCCCATCAATGTGTTTCTCTCATTGATGTTTCTCTCTCTCTCTCTCCCTCTCTCTGTCTCTAAAAAAAATCAATAAAAATATATTTTAAAGAAAAAAACCAGTGAATACATAAATAAGTGGTACAACAAATTAATGTTTCTCTCTCTAAAATCAATAAACAGAAAACTTTGTTTTAGGAATATGAAGAAAAGCAGTAAGTGTGCTGCCAGGCACTTGGAAGCGCTCAGTGTTCTCCATTGCTCACTAAATGGCCTCGGAGTGCTCATCGGGGCTCATCAAGTATCAGAGGCAAATCTAGTGTTAGCATTATTATTCATGCAAGGGTTGTGATCACAGACCTCCACAAGCAGGTGTGGCACAGGGAATGCGGGGACAGGAAAGGGAAATGGGGGGCTAGGAACTGCCAAGCGAGGAGCCCACACTGTGGTCAGTCCATCAGGAGAGAGGAAGCGTGAGTCAGTGTCCTGGGTCCTGGCGGATGGCAGTGGTCAAGATCAGAGAGACCCACAATCTCGCAGATCATTCGGTTCAGGGTCCCAAATGTTACTTCATAAGACCAGTAGCAGACTGGCCCCAGCTGGGGAGAAGCTTATTCAAAAAAATACATCACCACTAACAATGCAGACTCTCTAGCCCCACTCCCAGAGATTCTTATTTCATGGGCCTGCGGTGGGGCCCCAGGATCTGTATCTTCAAAGCCTCCCCAGGTAATTCTTACGTACAACCAGACTAGAGAAACTCTGATTTCTGGTCCAGTTGCTTATCGGGTACTTGAACTTCATCTACAATATCCCTGACAGCCTCCAGGCTGTAATTAAACACGTTCAGAGATGGAGAGCTCATTCTATTACTAGGCAGTTCTGATGGTTTTAAGCCAACCACCACACAAAAAAATCCTTTGAGACTGAACTGAATCCTGCCCGCCTGTTTTTGCTACCTTGAGGCCCTAGTCCTGACCTCTGGGTCACACTGGACAAGGCTTGTCTTTCTTTTCCTTTGAGGGTACTTCAGACATTTAGAGAGAACTGCTGTGTTTTATTATTGCAACATCTTCTTTCCAGGTAAAACATCCTGATCTTTCAATTGCTCCTTACAGAAACTGATTTTCAGATCCCTCATAAGTCTGTTCTTCCTTCACTATACTCCCCTCCAACTTTTCTGGATTCCTCTGAAAATGTACTTTACAGAAAATAACTCAGCACTCCAGGTGTGATATCAACAGCCCAGAACAGGAAAGCACAGGCCAGGACTATCACCTCCCTGATTTTAGACACGATACTCCTATTGATGCCACCGATCTAAAATTTCATGAGCTAATTAAATGGCTCTATCACCTTTGTCAATTACAAAGTAGGAAACCTCATGGATGTCAGGGAAGGCATTTATGGAGCAGGCTACTCACCTGTGTCCCCATTGAGGGGACCTAGTTCCTGGGGCTCTGTTCTGGGTGGCTGATCTGGTTCTTGGCATCTCTGGAAGAAATGGCACAATAATGAGGTGGAGGTAGAGGGCGGGAGGATCATGTGAGAATGGATGCTACAGTAGGACTCATCCAAAGGCAAGGCGGGACTTCCAGCGGTGCCAGACCACTGAGGCTGTGCCCTCAGCATCCCAAGGCAGCACTCTCAGAAGGGGTTCCCAGTGCAGGATTTTCCATCCTGGCCAGGGAACCCTCAGTGGAGAGTCTGATGCTAGCTGAGCGCTCCTTAGATTCTTGTGGTTTGGCTCCTGTCACAAACCATGGCCTCCTCTTCCTTCCCCCGGGACTTGGCCAGACCTTCTGCATTGACCCTCACCCCAGTTACGACCTCGCGGTGCCCTAAGAACTTTCCAACCTCTGCTCAATGACAACTCCCCTTTCTTCTCTGGGCCTGTGGCTACTGTGACTTCCAGCCAAGTTCCTCTTAAAGTTTTGTGGGGTTGGGGGCAGAGCATCAGAAGTTCAAGCCGTGGTTTTACCATGTTACGGTGTTAGAAGGGGCTGCTTCCTCAACCATAAGGAGGCAGAATTACTTACCTTGCCAGACGGGGTGAGACACCCCGTGATTGGGACGTACCAGGCGCTATGCTGCCGTAGCTGCACCATTTCGCTAATCTTTAGAGCAACCCTGGGAAATAGGCATTCCCCCAGTTTAAAGACGAGAAGGCAGGTTAGAACTGTGTCAAGGCAGATTAGGGGGCAACTGGCAGTCAAGTATTTGAGCCACACCCAGTGGGCGCTTTAACCTTGGCCAGTGCGGGTTGCATCTGATCGAAGGAGAGAACTGAAGGATGCAAAGGGCTTTCTAGATCACGGTGCCAGTAGCTCCGGGATTTTCAGTTTCCATTAATGAATAATTATTTTTAATCCTCACCCAAGGATATGTTTAGAGAGAGGAAATGAAAGAGAGGAATATTTAAGTGTTGAGAGAAACATTAATCGGGTGCCTCCCATATGCGCCCCGACTGGGGATTGAACGTAGGTATGTGCCCTGACTGGGAATTGATCCCCAAACCTTTTGGTGTACACTACAGGATGATGCTCTAACCAACTGAGCTGCCCGGCCAGGGTAAATGAGTAGTTTTTTCCCTTTAAAATATTTTTTTAATGGATTTTGAGAGAGAGAAGAAGGGAGAGGGAAAGACAGAGAGAGAAACATTGACATGAGAACAAAACACTGATTGACCACTTCCTGCACGTGGATCAAACCTATGACCTGAGCATGGGCTCTGACTGGGAATCGAACCAGCAACCTTTCAGTGCATGGACACCCAACCAACTGAGCCACCCCAGCCAGGGCAAATGAGTAATATTTTTCAGAGGAGAGCTGATGTGGATTGACATGCAAAAATGCTGAAAAAATTATTGGCCGTCTATCACTCATTTCATAAACTAGAGGACATTTTAACCACCTAAAATATCATAAGGTACACTCAAGACCAGTTTTCCCAGGAAAAGGCCATGACATGCTTACTCAAATGTCATATATATACTCACACCTTTCATTGTCTCATTTCACCCAGGACAGGTAAAAATTTGGTCAAGATCTGGCACTGACCACTGGACCAGAATTTGAGCTGGAAAAATGTTTTAAGTCCTTTTGTATACTTTTCAAGATATTCTTCCTAAAAGAAGATATTCTAGACCCCATTTTGAGAAACACTTTAAAAAATAAGTTAGCCCACGAGAAGGCTATGAAATGTTCCATTGTGAATAATCACTGCGAAAGAAAAACTTGAACAGCCCAGGCCGGTTTGGCTCAGCGGTTAGAGCGTCGGCCTGCGGTCCGGAGAGACCCGGGTTTGGTTCCCGCTAAGGGCATGTACTTAGGTTGCAGTTTGTCCCCGGCCCTGGTTGGTCGTGCGGGTGGCAGCCACTCGATGTGTCCCTTCACGTCGATGTTTCTGTCTCTCTCTCCCTCCCACTCTATCTGTACAAAAAAAATAGAAAAATATCCTCGGGTGAGGATTAAAAAAAAAAAAAAGAAAAACTTGAACAGATTTTTATAAGTAATTATTAGAATACAAGTTGTTAGCAATTTCATGAACTCAAGAACCACTGAAATGCTGCTAGAAAGCACAGGTCTGGTTGGGGAGGAAAGATAAGAGAAGGCTTCTAGAACATTCTGCCCCTGGCACAGTGTGAGCCCCTAGCAAACAGAGAGGCACAGTGCCTCCCCCAGGCCCTGGGGCCCCAAATCTACTCACTGGCTGAGCATACCTGACAACTGAGCCCTCCATCCACCCGGTGAAGACTCAGCCCTCCCTTCACAGGGGAGAGGGAGCCGCCCAGCCCAGGCACAAGCCAGGGAAGCTGTCAGCACAGGAATCTGGGGAAGTGACAGGAGCCAGCCTCTCCACCCTGGGCTGGAGGAAGGAGGGAGATAAACATAAATGGTTGTCTCATCCCTGTGGCCACCACTGGTTACACTAATCTGGGCAACATTTTTATGGGAGTGAGAATTCCTAAACTCCAGTCACGGCTCTTCCATGAACTTGGACAAATGCCTTTCTTTCTTTGTTAAGTGGAAGTGAGGTTTAATTTAACCCATGGCACTCAGAACTTCAAAGCCTGGAGCAGCGTGATCAAGAACTCGGGGTTGCCCAAATCTGGATCCAAATCCTAAATCCAGCCCTCAGCGACTGTGTGACCTCCCCAAACCTTGGTTTCCTCCTGAGGTTGTTTTAAGGATTAGATGAGAGAATGCACCTGTAATACCCGGCATAGTCTAAGAGCTCACACATTGCATCTGCTTATTGCTTTATGTTTGCAAAAGGTGGCAAGAACAAAGACTCCACAGAGCTTTGGTGGATCTCTTAGGCTGCGCTGGGCCTCAGGTTGCCTGAAATAAGATCATAAAGCTCATGAAAAATTGTCTGCTCCCAAAGAACCAAAGAAAGGGGGAAAACTCTCCTTCACTGACAGCTTCCAGACCACAGGCAGGACATGGCTGCACCCCAGTCCCAGATCCTGACAAAACCATCCCCAGGATCACTCCTTCAGAATGACAATCAAGGCTCGTAAGTCCGTCCTCAGTCTACCATCCTCTTCTTCCACCCCATTTCATTCTTTTTAAATTGAGATAAAGTTGGTATATAACATTATTTAAGTTTCAGGTGTACACATTAAAATTTGTTATTTGCATACACTACAAAGCAATCACCTCCATCAATCTAGTTTCCATCCATCGCCATACAATTGACCTCCTTCACCCATTTTGCCCTCCCCCAACCCCCTTCACCTCTGGTAATCACCAATCTGTTCTCTTTACCTACTAGTTTTTTGTTTTGCTTTATTTATTCATTTGTTTTGTTTTAGAGAGTCCACATATAAGTAAAATAGTACAGTATTTATCTCGCTCTGTCTAACTTATTTCACTTAGCATAATACCTTCAAGGTCCATCCGTGTTGTTGTAAATGGCAAGATTTCTTTTTTTTTTTTTTTTTTAATGACCAGGTAGTATTCCATTCTATATATGTGTCCCATCTTCTTCTTTTTTAAAAAAATATTTTTTCTTTATTGATTTGAGAAAGGGAGAGGGAGAGATAGAAACATTGATGAGAGAGAACATCGACTGGCCGCCTCCTGCACACCTCCCACTGGGGATCAGGCCCACAACCTGGGCATGTGTCCTAACAGGGAATCAAACCAGCGACCTCTCGTTGCATGGGTCAACACTCAACCACTGAGCCACACCGGCTGGGCTGTGTCCCTCTTCTTTATCCATTCATCCATCAATGGAAACTTAGGTTGCTTCCATACCTTGGCAATTGTAAATAAAGCTGCAATGCAAACAAGGGTGCAGATATCTTTTTGAGTCAGTGTTTTGTATTCTTCAGATAAATACCCAGAAGTGGAATAGCTGGACCATTTTGTAGTTCTATCTTTAATTTTTTGAGGAATCTCCATACTGTTTTCCATAGTAGCTGCACCAGTTTACAATCCCACCAACAATGTGCGAGGGTTCTCTTTTCTCCACGTCCTTGCCAACACTCCTCACTTCTTCTCTTGTTGGTAACAGCCATTCTAACAGGTGTGAGGTGCTATCTCATTGTGGTTTTGATTTGCATTTTCCTGATAATTAGTGAAGCTAAACAACTTGTCATGTGCTTGTTGGCCATCTGTATGCCTTCTTTGGAAAGCTGTCTGTTCAGATCCTCTGACCATTTTTTAAATTGGGTTCTTTATTTTTGTCATTGAGTTATATGAGTCCTTTATTCTGGGGCTCATTTTCTTAATATTTAAATATTGGTAAACACTTTTCTTTAAAAAAGTTTTTTTTTCTTTATTGACTTTAGAGCGAGAGGAAGGTAGAGGGAGAGAGAGATAGAAACATCGATGACAGAGAACATAGGTTGGCCTCCTCCTGCATGTCCCCCACTGGGGATCGGGCCCACAACCTGGGCATGTGCCCTGACCGGGAACCAAACCGGTGACCTCTTGGTGCATGGGGTCAACACTCAACCACTGAGTCACACCAGCCAGGCTGGTAAACATTTTTCTAATTATAGTAGTAGCAATATACATACATTTATTCATTATTAGAATATTACATTATTTTCTTATATTTTAATTTTTCAAATATATTATGATCGTTTACTACATGGCATTAAATATTCTGTAAAAATATTAATTTTAATGACTCAAGTATTACATCCTTGGGTGAATTAAATCATTTAATCAACAATTTACTATTGAGTATTTAGATTATTTCCATTTTTTAATTTCCAAATTATGCTGTATAAGACTTTTTTTTACACATCTAAAAGTATTGGCTCTACCCTTCAAAAAGCTTCTGCTGATTAACTCACCCACTAATAGCACACGAGGCCAGCTTCATTGCAACCCTGCCAACACGGAATAGTATTGCTTTTAAAAAAATGTTGGCAAATCTTCTGGGCCCAAAACAACCTCCTCTATCCCAGCACGTGTATCCATGCGTCCGAGACCATCCCAAGGTGCTCAAGATGACCTCAGCATGACAAACCTCG